GTCTTTGTAATTTCTACTTCGCTAAGCTTTTTTCTCTTAAGAGTATTTACTGTGTGCAGTATGTGCAACAGTGAAGATTATCTCAGCACTATTAAAGTGCAGTCCCTGTCATGGGATTACTATCATGTGACTAAAGATTTGGTACTGGTAAGGTCCTGAAAACAGGGCGAGCGATTTCTTCTCTTTTCTTCTCATGAGAACTACTGCTGCGTTTCAGTGTTTTTTGTGCTTTTTTGCATGATGCTACCACACCAACTAGTCCACACGTCGTTACTACTAGTCATCGGGTACGAGCATCATGCAGTGGAGGCGTATTATGTTATTAATACGTGCAGCTGGTTCATTGGCCTGGCTTCTGCGTGGACAACGGGCACCGACTGTCTGACACTGCCCGGGGTTCTTTTATAGAGTACGCAGCATGCAGATGTTTGTATGTTCCACCAATAGAGGGTAACGCCCTGATAAAAATATGTAATCTAAGAAAGTGTATTGGCTTAGCAGAAAGTTTAGCTGGCTATGTTCAGATCAAACTAACCTTCAGGCTCTGTTTTTTTTTTGCAGCTCCGTGTAATGCTGTGCCATGGCATCTGTATTACACAACCACAACAGTCAAGGGTGGACCTGCAAAACAAGCTCCCTGAACCCATACTTTGGAAAGGAGCACATTTTCAGGTATGCAAACTTAACTCGGCAGTCATGATTCTCTAAAACTGATGAGTGCTATTTGGGAAAAAAAGAGCATGCTGACACCCAAATGTTTCAGAGAGTGTAACGTTTCTTGAACTATTCCTAGTGCCACAAAGCTCTACCCATCTTGTAGGCTCTGTAGTATGCAAAAATTCTTCTCTTTAATAAAGTGGTACGCTACAGGCTCAGTAACTTTGTTGATTGTGTGGTTTAATCCGCCGATGCAATGCAGGCATGAGGCGCGCCGTAGTGGAGGGCTCCGTATTAATTTTGACCACCTGGGGATTATATCGTGCGCCGGAATATTGAAAAGACAGGCGTTATTGCTTTTCACCTCCATCAGAAAAGCGGCCGCCGCGGCCGAGAATCGAACCTGCATTCTCTCCCTCAGCAGCACAACGCCTTAGGCACTGAGCAACCGCGGCGGGTCTGAGTAACTTTGTGTTTAGCTGGAAAATAACGCCATTTGTAGCTTTCTCAGCTTTTATTCAATGACCAACAACTCTTGATTGCTGAGAAATGAATAATTAAAGCTGGCATTTCTCTCCTCCATTCCCCTCACATTATTTCGTGAAGTTTCAGACCACGTAACAAAGCGCCCAGATCGAGTCGAGCCCGACTTTACTCGATCGTCCCCATCTTCCTGAAAGTTTGTTCTCGCCGGCTATTACTTCCGTCGCTCCCAATCACAAAGTCAACACTGTGCCGTGTGTTTCCGACAAAGTTCCACTGATTCCCATCCGAATACGTGCCAACTAGCGCAGCTCCCAACCATTTTGCTATTACAATTTGAGGTCACTTTAAAATGAAGTTTTTTACATATCTGATTGCAGTAGACAGTCTTCTTAAATTTAGTTTTAGTTCTATATCTTCAGAACTTGCACAATGGACAAAAAGTGGGAGTGTGCAAATTTGTGTAGGGAATGAAAAGGTGTTTATGCACAGGAATGTACTCATGCCAACTGTTCTAGCCAAATACAATTACAAAAATTTCTTCAGCTGTTTCTGCAGGCCTGAAAGTGGGATTATTTTATTATGCAACAGTTAACTAAAGGGTGGAATGTGTAAATGTATATTCTGGAAGGAAAAAGTCCTGCACAGCATGTAAACGTGAACATTTATTCTTCATGCAGGTACACTGAAAGTAAAGCCGCTAGAAAACATCGAGATGCTGGCCTGCGGCTTTTCACATCAGGCCACCTGCAAAAGTTGGTGTTTTCAACTGAAGACACCGCAGAGACCGTGGTGAAGGCACACGTTCTGGCATCCATGGCAACACGGACAGTGTACAGTGTTGGGGTGAAGTTGCTTAAGTGTGATGGGGAGCTTATCAGTGGCAGCTGCTCATGTGTTGCTGGGAAAGGTGGTGTCTGCAAACATGTTTGCTGCGTTTTGTACGGGCTGATGCACATTGCGCAACATGATCTCACTGAAGTACCAAATTTCATTGCATGCACTGAAGGTGAACGGCAGTGGTACAACCCGCGGGATCCAAAAAAAGTGACTGAGCAATTTCAACAGATTGTATTCTCCAAGGACACCACTGAAAAAATCAGTGATGCACCAAGGCTTCACAAAAAACGAGCAGCCTACTCATGCTTGAGAACACAAGACTCGAATCTGTCAACACTGAGCCTCATAAACTTGCATGGAAACTTCAAAGAATGTGGGCTCAATTGCTTCGCAGACGTACTTGAAGCAAATGACTTTCTTCCCGAAAAACAAAAAAAAGTTGAGAGCCCCGCTACCAAAGATGTGGCTGGGCTACCTTTAAGGTGGCTGGAGCGAGCCAAACAGGGGAATGCTTTGCTGTCACACACAGACGAAGAAGTTACAGCCGTAGAGGCAGCCACACGACTGCAAAGTGCTTGCCTCCTTTGGCATATGTATAGGGAGGGTCTGATCACTGCATCTGTAGCGCATAGAGTTTACACATGGGTCAGGACGTGCCAAACCAAAATGGGGCCGCATGATCCCCGACGTCTCATCGCAGCAGTGGTTGGGAAAAAGAAAGGCAGGGCAACATTTGCCATGAAGAGAGACCTGCTGTGTGAGCCTGAAGCCAGGAAAGCCTTTCAGGACAAAAATGACAGCCACGTGGAGCTTGAGGTGACAGAAACTGGCCTCTTCCTCTCTCGTCATCACGCTTTTCTAGGTGCAAGCCCAGATGGGCTCGTGAAGTGTAAATGTTGCGCACCACGGCTGCTTGCGATCAAAGTGCCCCTAAAAATTCAAGATTTTGCCAAAAGGCAGTTGCGTGCTGGGGAACTAAAAAAAGTAGTGGCTATTATACTCAGGTGCAAGTGCAGATGGGTGTGACTGGTCTGAACACCTGCGTGCTGTTTGTTTACAACAAGGAAGAGTGCCGACAAATCTCCGTGCCATTTGACCAGAGTTTCTTCACGGAATTCATAGAAGGTTGCAAATTTTTTACTTCCAGCTACTTGCTTCCCTACATTTCCAGTAACTGGTAAAGTAAAGCTAGAAAATGTTTTCAAGCTTGTGCGTGTGTTCTGTCATACCATAAATACTTCAAGCCAGTAGAAGTAGCCCACCAGAGTTCTGCTTCTGTGCCTGTAAATTGCCTTTTCTACAACAAAGATGTTTATGTATGAGGTTTGTGCATTTTTGTTCTGCGTTAACAAGAACAGTCTACCCTCTTTCTTTGTACATCATGCACGTGCATAACTTGACCACGCTGGGGAAAAATAGTACAAATGAGCGTGAGGCCCTCCAGTGTGAAGCGTCTGTGTGCTTCATGCTAATTTCGCGGAGGCATTGGCTTGCTTATTTATGCCATGAAGCACACGAAACTGCACCACTGGCGTTATTGTTGCTACTAATATTCACACCATTATGGCTTGCGTGCTACTCTAAGGGCCGGCCTTGCTCCAAAACAGCAACTTATGTGGAATTTAAAAAAATTCTCGGGGCACCTAAGCTTGCTTACGTACTGTGGAGGTAAAAAGCCTGGTGATACTTATTAACTGCTTCTTTACTGATAGGGTATTTGTGTTATTTGTGTCTGTCTTCATTGCCACTTTGTTCAATGTAATGTTACATTGACGGGCTCTTTTACTGCTGCATTGTCTGTACTTCTCTTTTCGCCTTCATTTTGAATTAATTCAAGGTGAATTAAACAAGCAGACCGCTAACACATGCCACAGCTTTCCATGAATCAGTGTTTTGTGGGAGAGCGAGGCACCTGCTCACGTGTCACTTGGCATGAGCTATTCGAACTTTTATCCCACCACTGCTAATGTGTAGGCCTGTGCTATGATGTGTTGTGACCCGCTTCTTTTATGGCCCTACTTTTTACCCACCACTGCTATTGTGTAGGCCTGTACTATCATGTGCCTTCTGGCCTGTTTTTTTTTTGTTTTCCTGAAGGCCCTACACAGTTTACGGGAAGCACGAAAACAATGTCAAATAAACCACTGTACTGGAGCCCTATGTGGAAAATATTTTTAGACAACTGTTTCTTGCAAAACAGGCGGTTGCAGGCTTCTTGAAATTTACTCGAGCACTGTGTAACGCCGTTTCTTCACAGCTCCATTATCCTCCTGCAGCTGGTTTCTATGCAGGAAATGATACACTCAACATACCTTCAGTTTATCAATGAATGCTGTCATGCATTAAAAGGCTACGTCAGCCTGTTAATTAACCTTTCATGTTTATGTTAAACCACAGCAGACTGGATGGCTGGACACAAGGGGACAATATGGTGATAGCCCATACAAGTATGCTTCTCAATGGGCAGCTATGGCCACGATCACGAGCTTTTACCCTATCGAAATAAATGTATGTACCTATTCATTGACACCGCCAGGCATGGGTTCACTTCGATTTTAATGGAAAGCATCAAAACGTGCCGCTGTTTGAAATGGTGACAGAGATGAAGAGAGTATGGCTATTGCATAATGCACGTTCATGACAGTACAGGTAGCAATGTGTTATGACAACAAAAAAGAAAAGGGGGGTCAATGCAGACAACACATCTTTTCGTGCAAGTAAACGTAGTTCTCAAGAAATTTAGAGAATAGGGGAATGACCAAGTAAACAAAGCAAATAAACTGAATACAAAACCTAGGCAGGGACATTTCTTATGATGCTTGAATGTGCACGGGAAGGATACGGCTCTTCGTACGTGCCCTCCTGAAGGGATTGGGTTGTTCCTTGTTTTGGGCTAAGGTGAATAAAAAAGCTTGGAGAGACGGTGAGCAGTTCCTAGACCAGGCACAATGGCCTATTTCCTTCCCATTTCTGGCTGTGTTGCATGGCCAAAAAAGTAGTCAAATGTAGTGCCAGCGAACTGGCGCAGCCTATCAGCAGACATGCAGACTTCACTCACATCTGCTCACAGCAATGGCTCACCCACAAAGTTTGTCAAGCGTGCGCAAACATGCCACACCTTGTTCAGTTGTCCAGACATGCTGTTTGGAAACACCTGTGAGAGTATTCTGTAGGTCTTTATCCTCCGAATGACCCTTTCCACATGTATGCGCACACTGGCAATAAGCCTTGTCTCAGTTTCATCTGCTTCAGACAGTTGAGGCCGTCCTTCCATGAATGGCGGAATGTTCAAGTGCAGTGAAAGTTCCTTGCACTCTTCTTCGATGGTGAACCCCCTATCAGCCATCAAACTTCGCCCTGGTGAGAACTTTTCCAACACACCGGAAGCCTTTGTTAGGGCCTTGTCAGACAGCCTCCCAGGAGAAAGATCGGACACGAACATAACAAAGCCGTTCGGGCTGCACACAACTAACCCTTTTGCAGTATTGTGCTTTTTGTACGAGGAATAGGTCTCACTCTGTACACGGAATGACGAGGGGGTTTCGATGAAAATTTCGGTGCAGTCGAGGATGCCGTCGACAGTGGTGTAGCCCTTGTCAGTGAAAGCTTGTGGCCTGTACTTGTCGCACAGGTGGGGAGGCATCCAAGTTGGGACCTGAAAAAAGAAGAAAAAGTGGGTTTTCATATTTTTTACATTAATATCATCAGTGGCTTAGGAACGGGCGGGGGGAGTGGTCTTAGAGTGGTGGATCTATGCGAAGGATCTAAGACTGCATTCTCAATGCACATGAATCTCCCCATTGCTCTTAATGTACGATTTAAAAAGTCACCTTCTCCACCTTTGATTTTTGCCACAAGTACTGGCACTGCTCTGCAGTAGAGACCGCAAGATGAGTCATCACAGCTTGTAACACTGTCAAATGAATCTACAAATGCTCTAAAAATTAGCAAAAAACACACGGGCACACGAGAAGCATGCTGGGATAAGCATTCTCTCAACAAAACTTTTTTTGGAAGCATCGTTACATATAAATAAAATCATTTACTGCATTGGGCATGTGCTGTAAGACCCAGAAGGTTCATCGATTGATTTATTGAGTTATAATGCACAGGCACTACATAAGTTATAAGGTGCACTGTAGTGGAGGGCTTCAGTTTAATTTGATCAGATGGGAACCTTTACCGAGCACCTTAATCTCGAACATGCGAGCGTTTTCGCTTTTTGCCTGCGTAAGAAAAGCGGAAGCCACGGCGGAGAATCGAACCCGCATCCTTGGGCAGCACAACGCCGCGGGCACTGAGCCATGTAGCAACCCGCAGAATAAAAAAAGTGAAATGAGTACATTTAGGGTGAGGTGACATGTGACGTTGCTTCCAATAATTTTTAGCTGAGAGTGAGTGCTTGTCCCATTGTGCTTCGCCTGTGTGGTATTTTTGCGCTCTGGGTTTTACAAGCGTGCACCAACTGCCTAACGAGTAGTTTTACTGAAATTTACTTTAATTCAATCGATCCATCTTAGAATGCAAACACAAGGTGTTCAAGCTGAGCAATCTTGCAGTAAGCTTAAAAAAGCATGCTTCGGGGAATTAAATTACCTGTACGTTCTTAGCAGGTATCTTGACAGACAGAAAGGCAGTAGTGGGGGCTAATATATCTGGCCATGAGGGGAAGGCTGACAAACACCCCTTGAAATAGAACCCTGGCTACGCGACTGATCAGTGTACAGTTGGCCTTTTATACCTAAAATTCCATCCAGTCCCCTTTCTCCCTTCCCATAAATGTTGCAATTTGTCGCGGCCATCACAGAGACCACAAACAAAAGGCAATAAAAAAGATAACTGGTGCTGACATACCTGGCGAAGCCTGTTGTCCAAAAAATCCAGCCATGTTACCCAGATCCTCGAAACGGTTGACGTAGAAACGCCAAACCTGTACGAAAAACAAATTTGCAAAAAATGCGCATCAGTAATTTTCTGCAGCACAAACAAAAGAACCTACGGTTGCAATGAAGATGCCATTGCAGAAGATGCTTAAACGGTACTGAATTCCTTTTGTGTAAGCACCTTGTTACTTCCAGTCATTTTCATTATAAACGATAAGTGAAAAAGTGCTGCATACCATTGCTGATATTTTGAGGAACGTACGAATACACAGCATGCTGCATTCCCCCTATGCACAAAGTAACTAACAAAACCAGCTACGCTCGGCAGGAACACTGAAATTTGGCTTAAACTTGAATTTCTCAGTGAATGAAAGTTCGTTTGCTCCCGGACAAGCACTAAGGGTATTACAAAATACCAAATCTTTTGAATAAAGCAAACTCGTATTTTGTCTTCATGGCCCCTTTCGGGCTGATTGGGTTATGCTTGTTTCCCTCATAGCATATTCATAAATAACATTATACACAGTATGCCCGCGTAAATGTATTGGCATGGTAACAGAGTTTCATTAGTCACTCCACTTGGACCTTATGCAAAGGCAAAAAATGAGTACTGATGCAAAAAAAAACACTTCAACGTTGGCAGCGTACCTGTACGCAAGGTCAAGGCCGTCAAGGCCCAGCCGTAGCCTCATAAGGACGAGCACAAGCTGTGTCTTCAAAGGCAGGATGAAGTTCCGGTCCTCGTTCTCCGTTTCCTTCATCTGCCAGAACCGCAGCTTTTTCGCATCTGGTTCATGTAGGGACCAAAAACTGTCGAAGGACTTTCTGGATGTAAAGCCAGTGTAGTACCGCAGCTTCTTTTCATCTTCTACAAGGGCTTCATACGTGATGTCAATCTTTTGTGTAGCTTCAGCCTTGCACCTCTTGACTTTCTTCTGCATACAGGATAGCTCAAGCCGCAAGCACCTATTCTTCTGCTGAAGGCGGTCACATAGCTTTTTTGCTTCAGCGTGGTCCTGTTGAGAGCGTTTTAGCTGGCGGTTGAGCTCTTCAACATGCGCGTAAGCAGCTTCAGCCTTTTCTGCTAGCTCAGTTATTATATTATTTTGGCAAGCAGCTTTCTTGGCAAGCTGGTCATAGCTTGACTCTTGGCTGCTGTAGGCATGGTCCATGAGTAGAGTGCTTTGCTGTGCGGTGTCTTCACTGTCGCTGCTGCTACTAGTGATGGCAGAGCCTGAGAATTCTGGGTCGTGCTGGGGTGCCACAGTTGGACTGTTGGGAAGTTCCGGCTGTCAGGGGAAAATGAAAAAAGAAAGCCATGTGTTTCAGTGATTTTTACAACACACTGTGCAGCTGCAGGTGAGATTTCCAATACTGCATTTTATACCTTCACACGAGTTTAAGTTTACTCGGCATCATTGCTTTTTTTACGCAGTAGCGCAACCCTTAAGTAGCCATTGCCTGCATTAAGCCATAACAAAATATTCAGTGGTGCATATGCAACAACGTAATGCTATTTCTCTGCATTGCTTGTGCTCAAATTACCTGTGTGCTTATGAGTGGTCGCCTCCTTTCCACCTCTTGCGGTCTCAGCGGGAAGATTATGGGCACTCTGTTCATGTAAGTCTTTTTTCCTCCTTCGAAGTGGGCATCGCATACTCGGTGTCCCGTGGTAGGCGTAAACTTGGAGAACCTGAGCACAAAAAGTTCCAGCATTATTTCATATGACACTGAACATCACCTACTGCGTTTTCAGGTTCCTTTTAAATGTCCAGTCTGCATGCTACCACTGCAAGACAACAGTATCACTTTCTCTTGAATAACGTACAAAAAGTTCCATATCAGTCAAGGGCAAATGACAAATGTAATTTTAATTTTCAGCCTCACTCGACAACGCCACACACAGGTAAATTATACAGCTGTTTGTGCCACTCATCTGCATAGGTGCAGCGAAATCGGCCGCGTGCATGCACCAGATAACTATTTTACGGAAAGGACGAGATTACACAGGCACCGTTTGCATCGAGGGTGATCCGCGAAAGCTAATCGCCGTTTGCCACAACGAGTTCTGGGTAAGTTGTTGCAAGCGTGCCGTGAAGTACGTTACGTCGTTTCTAAAAAGTAAGGTCTCGATGTACGGTAGAGCTATTAAGAGAGCCTCGTCAATGAGCTTGCCTTCCCCTTATGCCTGCATGCTTGCCACTTGCGTTGTAAAAAAACGCAAGCCGCGTACGCGGTGCTGCACTTGCGCAACATAGAAAACTAACAGACCTCAGCACTACAACTCGTAATAATAATAATATTAGTACGCAGCGGTAACAAAAAACGCTAGAATAAGGAAGATGCGCTAAACAATGACCGGCATGCACAACCGCGAACCGCGGCTGAGCTATCCGGTAAGAGTATACGCAGGCAGAGTGAGCAAAGATCATATTCTTTGGTATGCTAAGCTTCATGATCAAACATTCACATAAAAAAAACCACCGCAATACGCTTATTTAGTTTCAAAGCGGCACTATACATTTAATAAGATGTCTTACCTGCCGCCCCGTCCAGCCCTGTTGATACGCTGAATCCACGTCTCCCGAAGCTTTTGCTCTTTAGGAAAGACGTAGAAACCCAAGACTTTATCCCTTGTGCTGTTGTTGTAGCATCCAAGAACACAGCACGTAAATCCTCCCATCGTAAGACGGCTCCACACGACCGAAAAATCTATCGAAAAGGGAACGCTCAGGCACTTCGGCTGGCTGGTGCGCCCGGACGACTACAAGTACCGGCATGCACCGCGGCTGCCGCGGCAGTGGTGGCGTCGCGAAACTGGCCTGTGGGATCGGTCTATTGGTTAGCGCGATCGGCTGTTACCCGAAAAGTTCGAGGTTCAAGACCTCCCGTGAGGGGTGTGTTGCTTTTTTCTTTGCGCTGATAGCTTTGAAGATATGTTCTGATGGTGGTGAGAGTGGAGCAAGACTGTCTCCGTGGCGCAATGGGCTAGCGCGATCGGCTGTTAACCGAAAGGTTGGAGTTTCGAGCCCTCCCGGGAGTGGTGTGTTGCTTTTTTCTTTGCGCTTATAGCTTTGAAGATAAGTTCTGATGGTGGTGAGAGTGGAGCACGACTGTCTCCGTGGCGCAGTTGGCTAGCGCGATCGGCTGTTAACCGAAATGTTGGAGGTTCGGGCCCACCCAGTGGTGGTGCGGCGCTTTTTTTTCTTTGGGCTTATAGCTCTGAAGAAATGTTCTGAGGGTGGTGAGAGTGGAGCAGGACTGTCTCCGTGGCGCAATTGGTTAGCGCGATCGGCTGTTAACCGAAAAGTTGGAGGTTCGAGACCTCCCGTGAGGGGTGTGTTGCTTTTTTCTTTGCGCTGATAGCTTTGAAGATATGTTCTGACGGTGGTGAGAGTGGAGCACGACTGTCTCCATGGCGCAAATGGCTAGCGCGATCGGCTGTTAACCGAAAGGTTGGAAATTCGAGCCCACCCGGTGGTGGTGCGGCGCTTTTTTTTTCTTTGGGCTGATAGCTTTGAAGATATGTTCTGATAGTGGTAAGATGAGAGTAGAGCAAGACTGTCTCCGTGGCGTAATGGGCTAGCGCGATCGGCTGTTAACCGAAAGGTTGGAGTTTCGAGCCCTCCCGGGAGTGGTGTGTTGCTTTTTTCTTTGCGCTGATAGCTTTGAAGATAAGTTCTGATGGTGGTGAGAGTGGAGCACGACTGTCTCCGTGGCGCAGTTGGCTAGCGCGATCGGCTGTTAACCGAAATTTTGGAGGTTCGAGCCCACCCGGTGGTGGTGCGGCGCTTTTTTTCTTTGGGCTGATAGCTTTGAAGATATGTTCTGATGGTGGTGAGAGTGGAGCAGGACTGTCTCCGTGGCGCAATTGGCTAGCGCGATCGGCTGTTAACCGAAAGGTTGGAGTTTCGAGCCCTCCCGGGAGTGGTGTGTTGCTTTTTTCTTTGCGCTGATAGCTTTGAAGATATGTTCTGATGGTGGTGAAAGTGGAGCACGACTGTCTCCGTGGCGCAATTGGCTAGCGCGATCAGCTGTTAACCGAAGGTTGGAGGTTCGAGCCCACCCGGTGGTGGTGCGGCGCTTTTTATTTCTTTGGGCTGATAGCTTGAAGAATATGTTCTGATGGTGGTGAGAGTGGAGCAGACTGTCTCCGTGGCGCAATGGCTAGCGCGATCGGCTGTTAACCGAAAGTTGGAGGTTCGAGCCCACCCGGTGAGTGGTGCTGTTGCTTTTTTTCTTTGCGCTGATAGCTTTGAAGATATGTTCTGATGGTGGTGAGAGTGGAGCACGACTGTCTCCGTGGCGCAATTGGCTAGCGCGATCGGCTGTTAACCGAAAGGCTGGACGATTCCAGCCCCCCCGGGAGTGGTGCGTTGCTTTTTTCTTTGTGCTGATAGCTTTGAAGAAGATATGTTCTGATGGTGGTGAAAGTGGGGCACGACTTTCATCCGTGGCGCACTGGGCTAGAGCGATCAGGCTGTTAACCGAATAGTTGGGGTGGGGAGGTGGAGAGGTTCGGAGCCTCACCCGGTGGTGGAGCGAGCGTTTTTTATTTCTTTGGACTGATAGCTCTGAAGTATGTTCTGATGGTGGTGAGAGTGGAGCCACGACTGTCTCCGTGGGCTGCATGGGCTAGCGGCATCGGCGTCTTACCGAAATGTTGGAGGTTCCATGCCCACCCACGTGGTGGTGCGGGCGCTTTTTTCTCTTTGTGCTGATAGGCTCTGAAGAAAATGTTCTGACGGTGGTGAGAGTGGAGCAGCGACTGTCTCCGTGGCGCAATTGGTTAAGCGCGATCGGCTGTTAACCGAAAAGTTGGAGGTTCGAGAGCCTCCCGTGAGGGGTGTGTTGCTTTTTTCTTTGCGCTGTATAGCTTTGAAGATATGTTCTGATGGTGGTGAGAGTGGAGCAGACTGTCTCCGTGGCGCAATTGGCTAGCGCGATCGGCTGTTAACCGAAAGGTTGGAGGTTCGAGCCCGCCCGGGAGTGGTGTGTTGCTTTTTTCTTTGCGCTGATAGCTTTGAAGATAAGTTCTGATGGTGGTGAGAGTGGAGCACGACTGTCTCCGTGGCGCAGTTGGCTAGCGCGATCGGCTGTTAACCGAAAGCTTGGAGGTTCGAGCCCTCCCGGTGGTGGTGCGGCGCTTTTTTTCTTTGGGCTGATAGCTTTGAAGATATGTTCTGATGGTGGTGAGAGTGGAGCAGGACTGTCTCCGTGGCGCAATTGGCTAGCGCGATCGGCTGTTAACCGAAAGGTTGAGGTTCGAGCCCACCCGGTGGTGGTGCGGCGCTTTTTTTCTTTGGGCTGATAGCTTTGAAGATATGTTCTGATGGTGGTGAGAGTGGAGCAGGACTGTCTCCGTGGCGCAATTGGCTAGCGCGATCGGCTGTTAACCGAAAGGTTGGAGGTTCGAGCCCACCCGGGGTGGTGCGGCGCTTTTTTTTCTTTGGGCTGATAGCTTTGAAGATATGTTCTGATGGTGGTGAGAGTGGAGCAAGGACTGTCTCCGTGGCGCAATTGGCTAGCGCGATCGGCTGTTAACCGAAAAGTTGGAGGTTCGAAGCCTCCCGTGAGGGGTGTGTGCTTTTTTCTTTGCGCTGATAGCTTTGAAGATATGTTCTGATGGTGGTGAGAGTGGAGCACGACTGTCTCCGTGGCGCAATTGGCTAGCGCGATCGGCTGTTAACCGAAAGTTGGAGGTTCGAGCCCACCCGGTGGTGGTGCGGCGCTTTTTTTTCTTTGGGCTGATAGCTTTGAAGATATGTTCTGATGGTGGTGAGAGTGG